CGGCAATGATTTCACAAATATGAAATGAAAAAGATAAAAAAAAAAACATTCAAGGATAAAAAATTATTACCACTAGTAGTGTCGTGCTGCTTGTGACCTGCTTCGTCCTTCACTGACATCCATCTCTCAACTTCGAATACAGATAGGCCAGGAAAACTGCCCCCTAGTTGTACTCATGGATCTGATTGAGGTTCAAGAAGTATCGGAGGTATGCAACATCAGTATAGATTACACTCGTATCCACAAAAATGCAAGTGCCAACAAAAAAAAGAATATGCCCTCAAAGCATGAGCCCTGTGTACCGTCACCTGCTCAGCATCACCATCAACCACCTATGCACCAAAGATCTCCTTATCATATCTCTTTTTCAGGAACTCAAATCTAGCATGATCACCCCTAGCCTATCCACCTCCTCAATCAGCTTCTCGGGATCAGCCTCCAAATGCTCTACCATCATCTTGATTGTCTCGTCTTTGGTCATCTTACCATGATAGATGAATCTACCCTTGATCGGAAGATGTAAGAAACACGAGACATCGTCAAGTGTGATAGGCATCTCACCATATGAGAGATAAAAAGAAGACATCTCAGAATTTCATCTCTCTATGAATGCATTAAGCATCCTGTAGTTGACCAGAGTGTAACCAGACATACATAGGTCCCTTAACCCAGATAAGGTCAGAACCGGCTAAAACCACTCCTCATCCGGCTGATCTAAGCCAACAATCTTCCTCCCATGGTTCAAAAACTTCTAGGAATCATGCACCTGTGATTTTCTAGAAATAATTAATGTCAATAATAATCACTGTTAGAAATAATCAATGTCAGCAATTTAAATTAACATAAAACAAAATTAGACTAATGTTACCCCTCCGTCCCAAATATGTTTGGCAGTGTGGTCTGGATACAGAGGAAGTAGGGACATATCAGATGGACCTCCTCCGAATCCCTCTGGAAAATCATCCTCAGCAACCTCACCCTTCGGAGGTGGCACTGGATCAACATGATTATCAACGAGAGGTGGCACCAGATCAGCAAGAGGTGGCACTGGTGCATCATAACGCCTTCGGGAGGATGGGGAAAGTGACACATCAGCTGGTGAATCCTGTCTCCTACGTGAAGAAGAAGACGGTGGAGTGGACTGAGATGAAGATGGAGTGGCCTGAGATGAATGTGAAGTGGCCTGAGGAGAAGGTCGAGTCCCAGGAGTAAACTATACCCTAGAAGTCGACGCCTATGCCTGACCAGATGTACCTGCTGTCTCCGCTCCCACTGAACGAATGCGTATTGGGAAATTTGACCATGTCTCAGTCTATCGACTTTGTTAGTTATAATACTTGTAAGGTAAATTACACCATATTATTAGTGCAGATAACACAAACAAACAAGAAAAAATAAAGTGCAGGATATTTCGGAGATACATATCCGGAAACACCTTAAATCTTTTTACTTTGAATACTTCCGGAGATGTATCTCCGAAATACGCAGAGGATATGAAATGCTGGACAATTCCGAAGATATATCTCCGGAATATTCTGCAACTCAGAGGTTGCAACAATGACGTAATGTACCTCTTGCAATGTGAAAATAATGTTCTGATCGGCATTTTAAGCCAACAAACAAGTCACACACTAAGTCTAAACTATGTTACTTGTGATTTCTACACATTTCTATCCCTAAACACTAATTTTAACACATTTACACTAAAACTCGAATATTTACTAAAAACTCGAAAAACTTACGTGAAATTGATGATTCAGATGTTGTTTCCGATATTTGATATGATGCTTGATGTTCCTTTTAGTTCCTTTGACGCCTTGCTTGAAGAAATTTGATGCTTATGATAATAAATGAAATTGAGAGAGTTTGTTGTTTTGAGAAAGTTTAATATCTATAAACGAGGAAGGAGAAAAGTCTGACGCGAGTTAAGCTCTAAATTATTTTAGACATATATCTCTAAAATATTTTAACGTTCACTAAACTTTAAATACGTCCGAAGATATATCTCCAAAATTAAAAAATATAAATAGAAATTCACATAATACTTTACAAACATACAAGGTGCATTAAAAATTTTTCTAAATTTAAAGTTAAAGAATAGTTACCAAAACAATTTTATTTATTTATACGATCTAGAACTAAAATACTAAAAGCTAAAATATGGTTTTAACAACTAAATTCTTACTAGATTAAAAGGTAGACTATCTAAAATATTAATGGTTTCTTACTTTAGAACTAGAGATTTTAGCTCTAAATATGACCAAATAACTGATTCATTCATTAACTTTGTGCTACACTATCTAAAATAATAGAATATCTTTAGCAAATATTCTATACAACTGTGGTAAAATGGGTCAAGTCTGTCCATTTTCTTTATCCGTTGCATTCCGTCTTGATTTTTGGTAGACTTTAATTTTAAATTGGACGAATATAATTTTTTGTCACTATAAAATTTTATGTCCCGCCTTGTTTTTAGACCGACAAAATTAGAATTTTTAGTCTGTTCCCTTTACTTTGTTTGCCTATCATTTTTTTTTTATAGTTTTTATATAAACATATATATTTATTTGTCACTCCTACCTATATATTTTGAAGGAAACGGTAAAATATCAAAATAAAGAAGAAATATTTTAAAAATATTCTAAATATAAAAAATTGATCATAAAAATATCTGTAAAACTTATTTATTTTATATAAAAAATATTGAAAAAGAAAAAAAATTTAGATTAAAATTTTATGTTTTTAAATAATCAATATTTATTTTATTTATTTAACCATTTTTTATATAAAAAAACAAATGCATGAAATGTCCAACAATTGATCTTCCTCAAGACTTAAGAAAATGAAGATTCAACATTTATTCTTTGTCAAAAACTAACATTTGATCTTCACTTACAATAATGACAATGAATCATATTAAAAAAAAATTATATATTTTTACTTTAATATTCTATGTAAACAATGTAATATTCTTTGTAAGCAATCTAATTTGTAAACAATTTAATTCATTATTCTGCGTAAACAATATAATTTGTATTAAAAAATTATTTTCCCAGTCGATTTTGATCATAAACCGAAAGGTATATGGGGCGAGTTTGGAAAATCTAAAAATGTTATTATTAGGGATCAAACCAACGTTAATTTCAATTATACCCTTAGTTAACCAAAAATCGAAGGGTTAAGTGACAATTTTTCATGACGTCCTTCATTACCTCACTTATATCACCGAGGTAAAATCTCCTTTGCACCCAAGGTAACATGTGTTTTTTGTAGTTGTGGCGATTTTACTAGAAAGGACATCTTCCCTCCTAAAGTACAACATGTGTTTGACAAGTGTCTTTTTTAGTAGAAGTGTTCAGGACATAGATGTGAAGTTTGACATGACCACAAGATAGAAAACAGTTTTTGGTTGTTTGCAAGAAACACATGCTCAAGATTTTCTTCTTATTATCCCTATTGACGATCTAGACTAACATATGTCCGATTTTCTTATTTTCTATTGATGAAGTTTGTCCTATTATCCGCAAAGCATACTTGGATATATTTGAGAAACACACTATTTGTTGCAAGGAGCTTTCAAGATTCAAATAGCAACATGACTTTTTTAGAAATATCATATTTGATATATTTAGGCGTGTAAGGGTATTTGTGAAGAAAGAGACGTTTGCGAATTTCTTGACTGATCTACAAGAGGAAATTTTGAATCTTAAGCCAATAGATATTTATGCATGCGTAAATTTGACTGAGATTTTTTCACTGGTGGGACTAAGAATTAATGAGATAAATCGTTCTCAAAACTACTTCAAATAAAGTGGTCAAACGTGTTCAAACAATCAAAATGTTTTTATATCATTCGTCTTTTAACACTTTTTATTTTCTAACATCATAAACAATTAATCTTTTTAAAGGGAATACAAAAGTTCATACATAGTAATATTACGTCACCTAAGATAATAAATGTAATTTTTAAAAGAATTAATTTTGTTATTAAAAAAATAACAGTTCAATTTGTTACCGGTGCCTATTATTTATGTATAATTTTGATCTATATATATTTATAATATAATTAAAATTTGTTTAAAAAAATTGAAAAGAAAATTCAAAGCAAAAAGTTAAAAATCATTCCAAACGGTAGCCAATGACTACGTCTATATAGTGTACGTACATATGTAAGAATAAGAAAGTTGTACTAGTATATTCATTAGCATTATTTATTATTTTGTATTTATGAACAATAAATAATTTTCTAGATCTCACCCAGCATACTCACATGAGATTCTCCATAGTCACCACCACTCTCTCCTTTGTAGTCCCCTTCGCAATAATGGCACCCTTTCAATCCACATGTATCACCCTTTTCTCTTCATACTCCCCCATTTTATGTTGCACCTTTATTATTACACTTTACACTCCAACACACTTCCTTATCAACTTAAAACCCTTATTGTTTGAATTTTTAGTTGATAAAATTTGTGCCATCATATCTATATGCACACTTGATAGCAATTGTGCAAATATATTTGATTGTTGAGCGTCGTTAAATCAATTCATTTGATAGTGATTATGTAAAGATATCTGATTGTATTGTAAAACGTCATTATATATCTGACCTGATCGTGATTAAATCAGCTCAGTTGATTTCGATGTGAAAAGATATCTGAGTCTTTTTTTTTCTTTGTACCACACTTCTCAACAATTTTAACTTTCTTTTGATACTATTCTAAGTGTTAATTAAATATCCCTTGTCAGAAGCACTATTTACTGTCTCTGCCACACAGTCATTTCATTTCATGTGGCATTCACAACACCTAAACTAATGTGCCACTTCTCCTTTGTCCCTTACCATTCCATTACATACACTTATTGCCAACTTCTTCTCTCCACCATCAACAACAACATCATTAACTATGACTTGTTCATCTTCTTCAATTATTATTACAACCATTACCATCATCTTCTACCTATTTTCAAACTTCAATTCATAGAAAAAAAACCTCATCATGGTTACTACTACTCCTACAAAACACCCTTCTTCAAATGTTATGTCTCTCCCTTTTCCATCTCCTAAACCTCCTCCAGACTACCCTGATTTGTATGGAAAGCGCCGCGAAATGGCTAGAGTTCAAATGCTTGAAAGAGAGATTAGTTTTCTCGAGGTATGTTTTTCACCTCATGCAACAATGTCATGTCTATCTACCCTTCTCAATTTTGTCCTTATATTTATCTATAAGCTTTCACATATTTGAGTAACATATGAAGTACTAATTACATCTACGAGTAATAGTTTTAGAAAATGGACACAATTGAGTGTAACAAGCGTATATGTATCAGCGTCAGTGTCGTGTCAGCGTCAAAAGCTAAAATGCGCCGTTGGATTTGAACCTTTTAAGTTCATGGAAGTGATGACTGTTTTTCAATTTTTGCAAGATTTTGATGATTTATATGTACTATTTAATTGCTTCTTCAAGTGATGTTTTGGCTTCTGAGGATTATTTGCTACAGTTTCCTAATAATATTCAATGATTTTTTCAAAATTATTGTTGTCAATTTAGAGTTAGACAGCTACTAGCATTTATTAAGTAAGCATTGAAGCTCATAGTAGTAAAAAGTAAAAATTGAGTGAAATCTTGAAATTTGCCTACAAAGCGCTCATACAGATACAGATACCAGAGACAATATTAACACTGACGTGTAGACTATGGTTATTAAACGTAACCATATGTGTGAATGTCGATATCGGCTAATGACACGTGTTAGACATTACAGACACTTTTAATATCAAGTGTTGGACTTGGTGCTACATAGCAACATAGCAGCCTTATAAACTACTGTCATTTTGCATTAGTTGCTTCTATTTTGTAAAAAAACAATGACATGCAACTTTTCATCTGGCAGGAAGAGTTAAAATCTTCTGAAGGTTTTCAACCATCTTCAAAATGCTGCAAAGAGTATGAAACTATAGAAATTCTTTAATTATATTTCTCTAGCTATGTCCATTTTGTTGATTTGTTTAATGCAACAATATTACAGGATTGCTGATTTTGTGACAGCAAATTCAGATCCTCTGTTACCAATGTAAGAAATTATTATGTATATGTTCAAGTTGAACTTTTCTAGTTTTAGAGAAATCATTTTTCTTATGATTTTTCCCTTTCAATTAGGAGGAAGAAGAACCGCAAGTCGTGTTGCTTACGGAAGTGGCTTCGGTACAAAAAATTTTTTGTTACTTGATTTTAATACAACACAAGTCATAAATACCTTTTTGATTTTAGTGATTTAGAGACTCGATCCTCTATCCCTGAAGTATGGTACAACAGTTATAAAGACGTTAGATGTTAGATTCTATCAGTCCTTACAACTGTTGCACCATACTTTACCAGAGGATCAAGCTTCGCGCTATTGTAATATTTTAACCTTAGGATCTAAACTAATGTGTAATTTTACGTGCAGTCGGATGCGGTGTTTGAATTTGTCATGGATCTGTTGCTGGTGTTGCGATTGCTTCTCCGGTTTTTGCAACCGCAAACAAAACAATTGCAAATGTAATAGTTGTCGTCCGTCAATCAATTGCTCCGTAACGAATTGGTGTTATTGCTGTGATAAAAAATCACATTGTTGTAAAGATTTTTGTGGTTGCAACAACTGTTGTTGTATTCTACCAGGTTGCAACTTTAGGTGGCCTTTTTCTTCTTGCTGTGTTTGCAAATGTTCATGCTCTTGCACTTGTCCTAGTTTTCCAAAATTTCCATCATGTTGCTGTTGTACAAAATGTTAAGAATTTGATTTGTGTGATTTTTTTTTTTTGGTTATTCAAATGAGTTCAATGTATGATGTAATATGTATATTTTATATTTGAGAGTTGGGAATTGCTGTTAGTTAAATTCAATTCTAGGATTAAGTTAGTTAATTGGGAGGTTAGAAAGTTATAACCAACATTATGATCACCTTGTATGATCAATTAATTATAAGCGAATGCAACTTTCCATTTTGCTCTTCCTCAATTCATCTATTTATTCTTCTTTCTCTCATTTCTTGTAGAGCAAGAAAGCCTTTGCTCAAACATATTTCGTATCAGGGTCTTATTCTTGAATGTGTAGAATACATTGATTTAGGAACTTTTCTTTCATTACCAATCAAGTAAAAATGACCGGTGGTATGGCTTTCCAATCATTGATGGTAAGAATTTGGAGAGGTGTCACAAACAAATAAAAGCTTTGGCTATTAAGATACACTTGAAGTAGTTTTTAATAGAGTTGCAAGCAGTTTGTAGATGCTGCAAAATTTGACAAATTCTCTCATAATGAGAATGCAAAGGAGAAATTAGACATTTTTATCAAGTACATTGAAGGATGTGACAAAGTGAAGACTGTGAAGTTGCAATCTTGAGAATGCAGTATGAATTATTGCAGATAGAGAAGAATGAAATAGTTGCAGCCTATGCATCAAGATTCTAGGCTTGGTACACACGATGAAACGTTGTGGTGAAGTGATGGCTGGGGAAAAAATTGATTCAAAATGTGATAGGACACTCACCCCTCAGTTTGATCATCAGATTGTTTCTATACAAGAACTTGGAATCTTAGCAAATATGAATATGGAGGATCTCATAGGTTCACTAAAAGCACATGAGTTGAGGATTCTTGAAAGAAAAAGGGTCCAAGTCTTAATTCAAGCATAGGCTTGAACATTCAAGAAAAATGGTTGTTTTGAGAGTCATAAATACAAGAAGAACCAAAAAAAGTTCAAGAAATATGTAGGCTCGAGCTCACAAAACACTAAGCATGATGGAAAACTTGGATCCTTCAAGAAAGGAGAAGAGACATCAAACTTAAATCAACAAAAGACTCAAAGAAAGGACAAGAAGCATATCCAATGTTATAACTATGAAAAATAAGGTCATTGTGTGTCATATTTATGGTTAAAAAAAGGAAATGAGCTGGCTCAAGACAACAGTGATGGTAAAGTCAAGATAGCACCAGATGGCTCAAATGATGATACTATAATGTTCATGACTGCAATGTCTGAAGATCAACATAAAGTTGGATCATGTTTTCTAGATATAAGCTACTCGAATCATATGACATGTCACAAGAACTAATTGGTCAAGTTTGATAGCATAAGAAAGATCAAGGTGAGACTAGAAGTGTCGCTACACAAAAAATGCACAGAGTCACCACCGAATTTTATTTATTCCGAAGAAAGGAAAAATAAGGACAAAACCCCCTAAAAGGTGAAGAAAATTGTCTTACAATCAAATTCGGGTTCGGAAGTCGGTTATGCAAGGGAAAGGTATTAGCACCCTTCACATCCATTGTACTCAGCGAGAACCATCTAGGTTGTCTAAGCGCGAATGAGCTTCGTTTGTCTAAAGTTTACTTGTTATTGGAAAAATGGAGGTTTTTTTATTTATTAGGGTACACGTCAAGATCTCGCGATCTCGTGCCTACGTATCCTCATAGTGCAATAAGGAAATCAGAGCTCTGTAGTTTGGAGTAGAAAATAAGTGTTTGTTGGTTGTTTTTATTAGACAATGTTGTTGTTCGCGTTCTAGCAGTTAAGTGTTGCTTGTACCGCGGTAGAACGAAAGTAACATGCCTTTTCTGAAAAGGTTTTGAATGTGATGTCGTAATGCGCAAAAAAGAGTTTGATGAAATATGGGCACTAGTGATAAAGTGTTAATTTGCACTGAATGCTAGTGATGAAATATGGGGACTTGATAACAAAATGAAATGCTAAAGTTAATTAGAATGATATGCTACTATGTTGGTCATCTTGAATTGTTTTTGTTTAAGTGAGTGTATGTGTGAATGCTTGCCAAGACATCCTGAGCTTATGATGTCATGCCCTCGTGTTTTCTAATTGTGTAATTGTGTTATTTGCAAGAATGATGTACTTGATCAAGGCAAATGTTATGGAGATATTTTGGACAACATGCAGAGCTTGAGGATAGTTTTGGACACCAAAGGTCATGAAGTGTCTTGAACATAAATGGGATGCCTTCTTGAAGAAAAAGTAGGATTATGGTTAGGGTTAGTGGTTGCCTTTGGTCACACAATGTAAATTTTGAATGTACTTGATCTTGACTTGGTGTAATAAAACTTGGAATGTTTGTGTAATGAAAATGGATATTTGATTTGAACGATAGCTTGATGTCTTTATTTGTCTCAAAGTTTGACTTATTTCTCTTGATAATTGACTTGCATATTCCACCCTTGACCTTGTATGCAACTTGAAATGCATTGAATGACCCCTAATTAAGATGAAACACATCATGATCCACACTTATTCTCTTATGATCCAACTTAATCTTACACATGAATGCTTCAACTTTGATCCAGGAACCAATATTGAACTACTTTGAACCTCTTTTGCACAAGCTTGAATTCTCCTTTAACATCAAGTATCAATGGATGGAATTTGACCACTAGCTTGATTTGAAAGAAGCCTTTAAACAAAGGATGTTTGGGCATGTAAACCTCTGATGACTTTGTAATGAAAAGTGGATTTGAGTGGTTTGATATTGTACATGCAAATGACCTTGAAATTGTCCTTGAGTTTTGAATCTTGCACAATGAACCAACTCTCAAGTACATAAGGTAATCAACCAAATTGATCTCCCATGATTGACCAAATATGTGCTTGCAAATATTCAACCATAACAAGGACTAAAACACAATCCATATGATCCATGAGCACCAAATATCAAGAATTAGGGTTTCCTGGCTTTGAATTCAAAAGAGATGCCATGCATATGAATGTGTCCATAGACCATATAGGAAATGAAAAAAGTTAGGGCAAACTTTGGGGTATGAAAAGAAGATAGCACAATTCTTACAAGCTGAAGGTACTAGTAACATGGTGATCAAAATGAATGATGGAAGATCTGCAATCATTGAAGGTGTGTTGTTTGAACCGATAATGAAATATAGTTTTACTGAGTGTTGGCCAACTTATAGTAATCATGATGAATGGTTTTTTTTAATTGTATGGTCCTGCCAACATACTTTTCTTGAGATCACCATTTGCAAAGAACACGACATTCAATATAATGATCAATACCATAAAATTAGAGTGTTTGAGAGTAGTGGGAGAGCACAAGAGGATCCAGCTATAGGATTTTAGGTTTGATCACCTTAGTTTTAGATCCATGAACCAATTATCTAGTCAAGGTATTGGGTTGCCTAATTTCACACATCATTGCTACCCAAGTGAAAAAATGTCACGTGTGATAATGGTTATGTCTAATGTAAAGTTCGGGAGATCAACCGCTCGAAAAGTATATGTCTATAGCGAATCAAAACCATTAAGATAGATATAAAATCAAAGATGACATCGATTAAGAGTTGTAAAACAGATTTTATACAAAGATCTATAAGTATACATGTAATCAAGATGAAATTACAAACAAAACCTAAAAAAAAATGAAAAATACATAGAGAAGAAGGAAGACAAACACAAATCTCACGGTTTGTCAACTCCGATTGAAGTGGATTCGACTCCGAATCGTCAAGATGCACCCTCAAATGTTGTTTCTGAACTACTATACTCACATAATGTGTTTGATGAAGTTGGGGTTAAAATTTCTCAATAACATAACCTAAAAAATGTTGAAAAGTGACTTAAATAGGGGCTGGAATGACGTGAACCGCGCTAAGCGCGTTATGAGGGCGCTTAGCACCATCAGTAAAATCATAATTCTTATTTTCTTCATAACTTTCAAACCGTAGCTCCGATTGAATCACGGTTTATCAATGATCTATATGACAATGACAAAATATCCTTGCTTGAATACCTACAAAAATGAGATAAACAAAAATTAAAAAAATGATATTTATTACAGTCGCGCTAAACGAGATCTCACTTAAAATACTCTTAAACCGCCTTAAAGCGCGCTAAGCACAGTTCTGCTCACGCTAAGCGCAGTTAGGAAAACAAAAATACTCCAGCTACTGCCATCCAGTTCCCAACGCGTTAAAAATCGCGCTAAACGCGAATGCTAATATTTGATTGGTCAAAACTACATTTTGAAACGTCCCTCTTGGCTCAAACAGTTCCATACTTCAACCATGCATTATTACCTATAAAAACAAATGAAAAACTATCAAAACTACTGATATGTACATGAAAACACAATATATACAACAATATGTAAACTATACAAAAAGTACACAAAAATGGAGGATTATTAACGGAAAACCAACTAATCAAGCCAATAAGTGCCAATTATTCCCACTCAAAATCAATACAATTTAGCACTTATTAGTTCCTCCTTTAATTGAGAGTAGTCTAATCCCCTTGTCTCACAAGAGCTTTTCATTATAACCACTTCATTATTACAATCGCATATGCTTTTACATAAGAATTTTACAATTGCTCAAACCAACTGTCTGAGACTTCCCTTGCTTAAAGTGCATGTCTAAGACTTTATCCTTACTCACACCATCAGACTGAGCTACCTGCTCATCTGCCTTCTGGTTGAGACTTCCCTTTACTTAGAACACATGTCTAAGACTTACCCTTTCTAACACCATCTGACTGAGCCACCTGCTCATTTGTCTTCTGGATAAGACTTTTCTTTACTTAGAGCACATGTCTAAGACTTTACTTTGCTCACACCATCAGACTGAGCCACCTGCTCATCTATCTTCTGGCCAAGACTTACCTTTGCTTAGAGCACATGTCTAAGACTTTACTTTGCTCACACCATCAGACTGAGCCAACTATTCATCTGTTTTCTGGATGTGACTTACCTTTGCTTAGAGCCCATGTCTAAGA